ATTTCATCGAAATCGGAGGTGAGGAAACTCTTCTGAAGAATTACTTTGTTATACTCACAATATTTTCAATGTTTGCCATGTTGGGTTAAAATGTAAACAAAAACAAATACAGTTTATATCTATGCGGAATCCGTTAAATATTAGAAAATCCGCGGAAAGAAAATGACGAAAATGACGGATGAAACAACGACCAATCACGTCAATTCCGCATTTCCGCAGATCCGCTCCATCTGAGTGCACCCTAAGGGTGCAGTCCCATGGAGCGTATCGCGCGTATCGCGGATTAGCGGATCGCCAATCACAGAATCGTTCTGTTAGATTTGCTTACAAAATTTGTAAACAGATCTAACAGAACGATTCTGTGATTGGCGATCCGCTAATCCGCGATATGCGCGATACGCTCCATGGGACTGCACCCTAAGGGTGCCGTCACATACAGCCCGCAATCCGTAATCCGTACCGAATGTCCGCAAAAGTAGTAGGGATTGCGTCCGTAACGTTACGTGTATTTTATCTCCTTATGTCCCATGGAACCGTATAATTCCGTAAAAATTATCAGTTTTTACTAGTAATGCTTTTTCTAATTTTACCTATTTGACTAAATTTGACGGTTTAAGTAAAGTTTTTGTTATAATCAAGATATATTCTGCAGTTTTCTTATGACATAAATTAAAAATAATCAATATAACTTGTTAAATAAAAAAATAATGTAAAGCATTACTAGTAAAAACTGGTAACTTTTACGGAATTACGGCTCCATGGGACATAAGGAGATAAAATACACGTAACGTTACGGACGCAATCCCCAGTAGAGTCCTAGATATCAGAGAAGCGCAACCGGCTTAAGTCAGTATCGCAAAATTACTAAGAAAAGTATTAAAAATGGCGTCGTTTGCAGACGAACTATGAAATCCACCAATCGTCTATTAGTCAGCCATTTTTAATACCAATGAATAAATGTCATGATTGGCTATGACAGTCACGCCAATCAGGACGCGGAACATCGGTTGCGCTTCTCTGATATCTAGGACTCTAGGTATCGATCATGAAACTTTTTCCCTAGGATGAAAAGTGAAAAGTGAAAAATTTCTCCATTAACTATAATGGTAAAAATTTTCACTTTTCACTTTCCATTCTAGGAAAGAAGTTTCATAATCGATACCCAGATAACAATTCGTGCGAGCTCATATTGCCCTCACGCGTGCGTATCACATTGTTACGTCCTGTATGGACGTCAGGCAAGGATGATAGCTATTGTACCGACTGAGTGTTTGTCACATCAATTTTTGAATCGTTAATATGGTTAAAAGTCGTAATCATTATCCTTGAATTAAAGAGGATTGAAAGAAATCCGTAGACCGAGCGGAAACTTCCGGATTTATACCTCTATAATTATTAGACTAATAATAATCAAGTTACTTTCTGTGATAAATAGCTTTAAATTTTAATATAAATTAGCAAATGTGAAAAATATTAAAGTAAAATAATAATAGTAAGATAATAATAAAATAAAAATGATAATAGTAGTGAAATAATAATAATAATAATTAATACGTAATAATTGTCATGAATAATATAATATATATATATTTATATTTTATCTAAATGAGTAGCATATAAACGAATTAAAGAAAAGAGAATGCACATAAAAGTCAAATAATACAAATGACATTAAAAGTAAGGCGAGGAATTATTCTTACTTAACTTATTATAGAATAAGGGAAATGAATGTTGATACACAGTAAATGAATAATATCAAGCAACACAATTTAATATTACAGTATATAAGTATAAAGTAACAAAATAAAAGAACAAGATTATAGTAGATTGAAAGAGTATATAAATGCAGAGTATATGAATAACCTGAGGTAGTAAACTATTGAGTAAAATCGGATATTAAATAAAATAGTGCGAATATTTATAAAATGCAAACATGAATAAAATCGAAAGGAAAAGTACAAATATTTATGAGAATATATAGTTCAGTACGTTTGAATGAATATTATATAAAAGGTGAAAATCATTAATATTTAAACATAAACACATATGAATATAATTGTAATATGTAATATAGTAATTGATAATAA